GATTGGCTAACACCAGCTTATCTATCTTCTCATGCAAAGATTTGAGCTCCTTCTTGTGAGACTCTAACTCTGATCCTCTCGGTGCACGGTCATAATCCTCAGCGTAATTGCCGTCACTCAATGCCAAGTTTTCTATCAGCTCCATACCCTCTTCTACCTCCTGACCGAGGAAGTTCCCTTTGCTAGCTGTGTCCAGCAACAACCTGATCTTTGGTGAAGCTCCACGGTATATGGTACTGAGTAGTGTCTCCTCGCTGAACCCGTGATGAGGACATTGGATCGTGTAGTCTTTGAAACGCTCCATTGCCTCGTTGAATGTCTCATTGTTCCTTTGAGTGAAACCGCTGATTTCGCTTCTCAACCGTGCTGTCCTGGTGCTTGAGAAGAACTTTGAGAGAAAAGCCTTCTTACACTCGGCCCATGAGGTGATGGTGCCTTGTGGGAGGGTCTTCTCCCAATGTCTGGCTTTGTCTCCAAGTGAAAAGGGAAAGAGACGCAGCTTGAAAGCATCTTCGGATATGCCATTGATCTTTATCATCCCACATACTTGCTCGAAGTTGTCTAGGTGCTCCAAGGGGTCTTCCATTGCTAAGCTGTGGAACTTGTTGTTTTGCACCATTGAGATGAAACCTGGCTTGATCTCGAAGTTATTGTTTTGCACAGGAGGAGGAGTGATCCCAAACCTATTGTGATGAGTATTGGGAGCATCTCCGGCTCCTATGATCCTTGGGGGTCTAGCCGCATGTTGGGGGTTTCCATTGCCCCTTCCTGCTGCCCCGTGAGCTGGAGGAGGTCCTTCTGGATGCTCGTGTTCAGCCATAGCTTCAAAGTCAACCAAACCGTGCTGAACAATCTCCTCAAAGGCTCTTGTTTGTTCTCTGACTCTCCTTTGCCGTGAGTGACCAAGTTGATGAATGTTGTCTAAGGGTTGTAGTAGATTGTTGTCTCCCCTTGAACGAAGATTCATGTACCTGAAAACACACGTTTGAGAGTAGAAGGATTAGTAACTTGAAAAGGTAAAGACTTAGTCTTTGCTAAGTCCCAAATCTCTATGTTCTCTAAACAGTCCTAGGACGGCAACGGCGCCATTTGATAAAGAGCTTTTTTCACAGTTCTAATTATCAATCCTAAAGCATCTTAGTGTTGCTGTAGTACTTTAGGTGTCAATCCAGCCTAGGTGAGAAAGATACTAGAAATACAAGAGCAAAGTAGAGCTAAGTCAAATTCGGGTAAATGAGGGAGAAATTCAACAAAAACTAAATGCAATACGAAATGAACAAGAGAACAATTTTAAAATCCCCTTTTAAGGGTTAGCAACTACTAGAAGAAAACTAGAAATTTAAAGTGCAAGACTACTGATTATGAAAATTCAAAAACTGAAAACAGGCAATTAAGGCTATTTCTAGCAACTTAAATGAGCAAACTTTAAATCTAAAGGAGAAAGCTTTTGAAACTACTTGAATGATAAATAACAGATCCAAGGATGAGGTTCATGCTTAGGGAAGCTCAAGGTTCGATCTTGGTTTGCAAAAAGTAAATCTACACATTTCAAAATTAGCTATCCTTAAGCCTAAAAAGCAATCTTCCCATGGCTTGTGGGTAAGATAAATTCCTCTCATCATTCATCCCTTCCAAACCCATGGCTTGTGGTGGAAAAGGATGGTTGATGGAGCTGAAGCACGGATCTTAACATGGCTTAACTAGCCCTTACTTGCCACTTCCGTGGTCTTTAAGGCATACTAGTCTCTTAGTTTGGACATAAGAGATCTCCTAAGTTCTTATGAGAAAAGGAAATCTCTTGGATCATAAAGCCTCTCTCAAGGTCTTTAAGCATTTGATACTCCAAACCAAGAAAGGATAAAGTTAAGAGCAAGAAAATACCAAGATCTAACCTTTAAAACCTTCCTAATCACCTCATCCTTAAATCCTAAAGAACTACTCTATTATCATTTTCAAACCCCTCTTAATCATAAGATAAGAGGAGTTAAACATGATTAAGATAACAAGAAAGAAAGATTAAAGCTTAAAGAGAAGTTCTTAAATTCAAAATCAAAGTTTTTACAAAAGATAAAGCTTGAAAATGGAAAAAGATGTTTTAATGGTGATCCACAAAACCCAAAAATGGGGATGGAGGCTGTAAATTTCGTGGATGCCCCAAAATTTTAGGTTTAGAGTGTTCATATAGGACCACACAACTGGTCCCCTCACTAAAAGACAAAGTCTGAGCTGTCCAAGGAAGGAAGCAGAAATCTGGACCGAAGATCGACCCGCCTGGTCGATCTAGTGGTCGATCTGAGCTGAAACGAGTGGCCTGGTCGATCTAGTGATCGATCTCTGGCTGAAACGAGTGGGATGGTCGATCTGGTGGTCGATCTCTGCCTAATTCGAGTGGCCTGGTCGATCTGAGGCTGAAACGAAAGGGATGATCGATCTGGTGGTCGATCTCTGCCTAATTCTTTTTGGCCGAACTCTTTCTTGACTCCCAGCAACTCCCAAGCTCTTCTTTTGACTCCTTGTCCATGCTCAGCGTCCAACACAGCTACATGTACTCCATATTACCTAAAAAGAATGCATATATGCAAGAAATATGCAAATGCTAATGCAAACATGTCTAAAACCTAAAATGGAGCAAAAGTTACAGATAATCTAAGTATGAATGCAATATGAATGCAAAATCTATCCTAAATAAGTGCTAAAATATGCTAAATTATGAGTTTATCAATGATGAGTAAGGCGAAGACCTGAAGGCACATAATCCATTGGTGTAAAGAAATCCAGGACAGCATCGTCCGAGTTATGACTTATAGCCAAAGAAAATATGTCTTCGCGGAACATCACGTTGCAAGAGATGAAGATAGCATTACTCTCTAAATTCATGATCTTATATCCTCTATAGCCATTAGGATACCCCAAGAACACACAAGCTCTAGACATAGGCTGAAATTTGTGTTGCTGCTTTGGTGAAGTAGAACCATAGCATAAATAACCAAAAGTCTTGATCTGACTGTATGTAGGAGGCTTACCCGTGAAGATCTCAAAAAAATTCTTGTCCAATAGAACTGCATAGGGTGTCCTGTTTATCAAAAACACAGCAGTAAAAACACAATCTCCCCAGTATTCAATTGGAACCTTCGATTGAAACATTAGAGCCAGAGAAATATTAAGAATATATTGATGTTTCCTCTAAACCACTGAGTTTTGTTCTGGTGTTTCAGGACAAGAATGGATAGAAAAAATCCTTTTTTCCTTGTAGAATTCAGTGAAACGCAGCTCTGGGCATTATCTGATCTCACTGATTTAACTTTGATGTTATATTGATTTCGAGTTGTTGAATAAACACAGGGAAAACTTGTAAGACTTCATTCTCTGTTCTTAGTAAATAAACCCATGTCGCTCTTGAGTGATCATCAATAATTGTCAGAAAATATTTATAACCATCAATAGTATCCACTGAATATAGACCCAAAATATCAATGTGTAATAGCTCAAAGTTATTATTACAAATGTTGTTGGAGGAAGAGTATGCCAACTTCTTCTGTTTAGCCAAATTACAGATATGACAGAAAGTGGATTCCTTATTCTTGTGTTTAGATGCTCCCAAAACTTCAGAGATAACATCAAATCTTAAAAATGAGGGATGACAAAGACGCTTGTGCCACATACTGAGATCAGCTACAACATTAACAGAAATAGATGAACTCGATGTCTCTAGCACATTTGATGTCTTTATGCCCACCAAATGGTTTCAGAGGGTTCTTGCTCTTCGGAGTAAAACCAGGAGGATAGCCATGTTTCTTATAGCATCGCTCAGCTATATGACCAACCGTGTTGCAGAATTAGCAAATATGACGACCTTTATTTAGACCATTCTGAACATAGCAAATCTCAGGAGAAGAATCATTAACCTCAGAAACTTGAAAAGCAGCTGGAGAATAAGTAACGTTGGAGAAACCTTTCTGATTCTCGTCTTGGTGCAGCATATTATAAACTTCAGCAAGTGAGGGTAATGTCTTCTTCATGATAATCTGTCTATGAATGATGGCATAAGACTCATTCAAACCAGCTAGAAACTTGACAATACGAGCTCTCTTTGCCTTATGTTGCAGACAAGCCGCTTTTCAACATATGCAAGGATCATCAGGTTCCTTAGTACTCTCCAAGTTACTCCACAATGTCTTCAAAGTAGTGAAATAATCCGAGAGAGACATCTTGAATTTGTTGAGTCAAGTTAAAAGTCCTCGATAGATTTTTCATATGGAAATGACCATACAGATCTTTCCAGATATCAGTAGCATCATTCAAGCGAAAAGTATTACGACAGATCTGAGAGGTAACAGAGTTAAGCAACCAAGATTTCACCAAGCTATTGCATCTAGACCAAATTCGAAAACTAAATTCTGATTCATTAGGTCTCAGCAAACTTCCATCGATGAAACTCATCTTGTTCTTAGCATCTAAGGTGATTTTCGTAGCAACTTCCTAGTCATCATAGTTCGTTCCATCTAGTTGAATAGAAATGGAATTCAAACCTGGATGATCCAAGCTATGCATATGGAAAAGAGAATGAATTGAATCGAGCGATTCCGTTATAGTGCGAGAAATCTGACGGGCTGAAGATCCCGAAGCATGGCGTGACGAAAAATCATCATCAGAATCTTACAGAACGGTGGCTCGAGTTGATCAGAGAGGTTGAACACATTTGAAATTTACCACTGGAATTCCAGAAACAGCTCAACAAAGTGGAATTTAAGTGAAAAATTGAAAAAAATTGAGTTCAGATGGCTCTGATACCATATTACAAACCAGAGAATCACGAGAGATGATAGAAAAGTTATTATGAGAAATGAATTTTCTGATTAGATTGAAAAGTAAACGGTATAATCTATTTATATACAATTGAGTATCTAAACCAAACTTAACCAATCTATATAATTGATTAATTAGAGTTGAACGGACTGAAGAAACCGATACAACTAAACCATCCATCCAATAGCTAGTCATGGACGTCAATCGTGGTTCGGACACAGCCCATAAAGTTTGGGCTTAAGATTCTTACATGCCCACCTGTGCGTAGTGCGTACAAATTTCGGCCGACGTCGAATGAAGTCCATATAATGATCCAACGGTGAGGAAGAAACAAAGTGGGTCGTAAATAAAATCCACCGTAAGACAAAGCGTAGAAAGATTATTCTCCTGGGCCCGCGTGTGTGGAATCCAGAAGCGAGTCGGTGAAATCATAAAAGGCATCTCTCTCTCTGACGTTATACAAATTTCGAGATTTCTTCGGCTTTCTACGACCTCTCCGCTTTTTGCTCTGCTTCTGTGTCTTCGTGTCATTCTTCTCGCAGATCTCGAAGAGCCCCCTTAAGTTTCTCATCGATTCGCATGTAAAAACGATCCTTTGACTCAAAGTTTGTGTTTTGATTATTTTGTTCCTTCGTCAATTCTCAAATTTTCCTGATCTTCGCAGAGTAACGGTACGGTTTTTCGATGGGTTCTTCGTCGGGGCAACCCGAATTTGATTACTTGTTCAAAGTTTTATTGATCGGAGATTCTGGTGTTGGGAAGAGCTCTCTGTTGTTGAGTTTCACATCCAATACGTTTGATGATCTCTCTCCCACAATCGGTGAGTTTTTAAAATCGTGATCGAGCTTACTACTGATTTGGGGTTTCTTCGTTTTTTGGTTTTGATTTGGTTTTGATTTGGTTTTGTTGGATCTGTTTTTTTCTAGGTGTGGATTTTAAGGTTAAGTATCTTACCATTGGAGAGAAAAAACTGAAGCTTGCGATTTGGGATACAGGTAATTTCTGCAATTTTGCTTGAAATTTATGTAAATGTGACCTCTTGTGGTTTCGGTTTAGATGTTCAGGAGAAACTTACTTGAGATTATTAATCAAATGTAGAGTTGGAATCCAGTTTGAGAATTTCTTTCTTGACAAACAACTTAATAATGTGGAATATATACAATTTGTAATATCTTTTATTTTGAATAGTTAAGACTCTTGTATTTGGAATAGTTAAGAGATTAGTCTCTTGTATCTGGAATAGTTAAGAGATTAGTATGTAATTAGAATAGTTGAGAGATCAGTTTCTTGTATTTAGGATAGTTAAGAGATTAATTTCTTGTAGTTTTTCAATTTTTTCCCGTCACTTTGATCAGTTTTATGGTGCTGGAAATCTTTGTAATGTCACATCTTGTGGTTTCAATTTAGATAGAACATATCTAAATTCATTAATGAACTTGGAGTTAGATTCGAGTTTCAGAATAAACACCACAATAATGCAGAACAAAATACATTTTCTTTGTAATCTACTTATCTTAGAGATTAGTCTCTTGTATTTAGCACAGTTTAGAGATTAGTCTCTTGTATTTGAGATAGTTAAGAGAGTAACTTCTTCTGCTTAGAATAGTTAAGAGATTTAGTCACTGTTGTTTAAAATGGTTAAAGGAGTAGTCTCTTGTATTTAGAAAAGTTAAAAGATTAGTCTCTTGTATTTTTTTTCAATTTTTCTGTTATCTCTGATCAGTTTTTGTTTTTTTATCATCACTCAGCTGGGCAAGAGAGATTTAGGACGCTAACAAGTTCGTATTACAGAGGAGCTCAGGGTATAATCATGGGTATGTCTCTCTAAATCATTTGTTTATCCTTGATCCTTACTCTACTGGTCAACTTTTTATTCCCTGTAAAGGACTTTTGGAGTTCTCTATCTGTAGTTTATGATGTGACACGACGAGACACATTCACAAATCTATCAGATATATGGGCTAAAGAGATCGATCTCTACTCGACTAATCAGGATTGCATCAAGATGCTTGTTGGAAATAAAGTCGATAAGGTAAGATTTTAGACTTCTCTTTCATTTGTCCTCCATCTCTATAATGTTGCAACTTTATTGACCTTAATGTCATCTCCAGGAGAGTGAAAGAGCTGTCACTAAGAAAGAAGGCATAGACTTTGCTAGAGAGTACGGATGTTTGTTTCTCGAGTGTAGCGCAAAGACTCGGGTCAATGTTGAGCAATGTTTCGAAGAGCTTGTTCTTAAGGTTAGTATTAGTAGAACCCGCACTTTTCTTCAAGCTTGTTGTTGTTGCTGAGGATGAGTAATGTTCTTAAGTGTTAAACTTTATTTTATCCGCAGATTTTGGAAACGCCGAGTCTCACTGCTGAAGGTTCCTCTGGAGGGAAGAAGAACATCTTCAAACAGAACCCAGCACAGACCAGCAGTGCTTCATCGAGCTACTGTTGCGGTTCTTAGACACGACTTTAAGGTTTTATGACACAAAAAAAACACACTCTTGGCTCGTCTTTCGTGTTCTTGATGGTCTCTTTGTTTCCCCAAAAACTGCATCATCTTGGATGTAAATCTTTAACCCTGATTTCAAAGTTGTGTTCACTGGTTTCTTCTAATCTGGGATCATTCACCTCTTCCGAGCACACAACCAAGCGATAGTTATAAATTAAGAGCATGACTTATACATAATGGTTGTACTCGTTGCTCCATAATTAACTAGACTCGCAAGCAACAACTTTTTCAAATGATTCAACAAGGAACTCACTCTTGTCGATGCTCTAAAAATTTCTTCTGGAACTCAAATCATGTTGGAGCAGTGTTTTAAGGATTTTTTTCAGCCAATTAGCTCCTGCAACATGTTTATGAATTGATCACTCGTCTCTTGGCTAACAGACTAATAATCACCTTCGCACGGTTGGAGAAGTATTTGCTCGGCTAATGGCAAAAGTGGAATGTTTAAGATAAATGGCAATGCGTATTCTCTATCAGGCATGATCTTTGGGTCCCTTATTGATCCTCGGCTGCAAAATGCATACGTCAGAATTTGTATCCTAACTTAACGTGAATCCGATGGTAGAATAGAGACGAGGACATGGCATGTGGAGGCGCTTGAATGCAATCATAGGTCACTTAAACATTATATATTTTAGAGATAATATTTGATCAAATCGGTTTGACACAAGATCAAGGGTGGTTAATCTTGTTGATGGACTGATGGAACCGTCTGATGGTCGTCTGACTCGTTCAGGCCGGTTAGTGAATGGACGATGAATAGAAATGGGCGAGTATGGGATCAGGAGATGGTTGTACAACTCGTTCCTTCTGATCAAGGGATGATATGAATGCTTTTAGTAACAAGATGGATCGAACTCGCCACAAAGCTTTATGGATATAAGTTCTGATGAGACAAACACAAACTCTTAAACAAAGAATCTCTCAAGTGTTTAAAGAATTTGTAAAGTATTTTCTCAAAGAAACCTCGGTTTATTTTATTGATCAAAGGTGAAAAATACACTGCTGTAAGAGGGGACTTTATAAACAGTCCAAACAGCTGTTGCCCTTCTTAGGGTCTTTGAATCAAATTACACTTAAAGCAAACATAACTAATTGAATCCGAAATAAAGATAATTGGCTAAACATATGCCTTGACCAACTAATGAAAGTTCAAACTAAATCAACACTTAAACACAAGACAATCACAAATTAATTAGTCATATACCCGAAGGAATTGAATTGATTAATTTGGTACATACCTTGATTTTATTGGTTTGCTTGGTTTTATTGAAATGCTGCGTTTCTTTAGCTTGCTTAGGTGTTGCGTTTTAAGCTGATCACATAAGTGGCCGGATGCTGAATAAGGTAACTCCTCTCTTTTCTGGAATGATCGGCCACACCTTTGTATATTGCATACTTTTTATGTCTGGACCGTCGTATACCTCCTTTGCATCATTTTGGCGCGCTTCTAAGGTTTGAATGAGGCTGTGTTCTTCAAGTTCCAACCTTGCTTGGGACGCTTCTTCAGATATGCTCAGCTGATTAAGTTGAGAAGTAATGTCTTCAAGTTCTTTGTTGGTGATGAGAGTTTCCACAGCTTGATTAAATCCTTCATACAACTCTCTAGCTCCTGATCTTGTTCTTGGTGTAAGTCTCATTGTAAGAATGGGGGTGTTTGCTTCGTTGTTAGTTTCTGATGTTGTATCATCCTATCCCCCTTGTGAAGGTTCTGTCCTCAGAACTTCATCTGCATCAAACGGTAACAAATCAGAAACATTGAAAGTGTTTGAAATGTTAAACGCACCTGGAAGTTCTATTTGATAGGCATTGTCATTGATCTTCTTTAAGACTTTGAATGGGCCATCTCCTCTTGGTAAGAGCTTAGATTTTCTTTGAGTTGGAAATCTTTCTGTTCTCATATGCAGCCAAACCCAATCCCCATCTTTGAATGTTATTTCTTTACGGCCCTTATCAGCATTCTTCTTGTAGAGCAAACTCCTTTTCTCAATGTTAGCTTTGACCTTCTGAAACATCTTCTTCATCAGCTCAGCTTTTGTTACACCATCTTGATTAACCTGTTCCTTCTGTGGTAAAGATGTAAGATCTAATGGAGCTATATGCCTGAATCCATAAACAATCTCAAATGGTGAGAGCTTAGTAGCTGAGTGGGGAACTCGATTATATGCAAATTCAATGAAAGGTAAGCAATCAAGCCAGTTTCTCAAATTTTTACCAACCGTGGCCCTTAAGAGGGTTGAGAGTGTGCGGTTAACAGCTTCTGTTTGGCCGTCAGTTTGGGGGTGGCATGTGGTTGAGAATAGAAGCTTGGTTCCCAGCTTTCTCCATAATGTCCTCCAGAAATGGCTTAAGAACTTTGTATCTCTATCTGAAACAATGGTCCTTGGCAGCCCATGAATTCTCACCACTTCTTTAAAGAAAAGATCAGCAACTTGTGTAGCATCATTAGTTTTGAGCTATATATCAGAATATCATCGAAATATACCACTACAAACTTACAGATATACTCGCGTAGCACATGGTTCATGAGGCGCATGAATGTACTAGGGGTATTGGTGAGTCCGAATGGCATGACTAGCCACTCATATAGACCCTTTTTGGTCTTGAAAGCGGTTTTCCATTCGTCGCCCTCCTTCATCCTCACTTGATGGTACCCACTCTTCAAATCAATTTTGGAAAATATGGTGGCACCACTTAACTCGTCGAGCATGTCATCTAGCCGTGGAATAGGATGGCGGTATTTGACTGTGATGTTGTTTATCGCCCTACAATCCACACATATCCTCCATGTACCGTCTTTCTTTGGTACTAGTAGGACCGGGACAGAGCAAAGACTTAGACTTTCTCAAATATATCCCTTTGACATGAGCTCTTGGACTTGTTTCTCCAATTCCTTTGCTTCTTCAGGGTTAACTCGGTAAGCTGGCCTATTGGGAAGTGGGGCTACTTTAAGAAACACGGTTATGCAAGATTTAGTCAATGAAATCACACAATCAAATGTCAAACTGAGGTGATGACAGAAATGATGATTAGTTTTCAAACTAAATATGGAAGTGATTATGACACGGTATATGGTGTTATGGAAATGACAATAATACGCGAATCAATATGGTAATGAAATACTCGACACAAAATGTAAGCTTTCTTTTGGTTTTTGTTTTTCAAGTATGCAAGGAAGAAATTTTGTTTTTGTTTTTTTTTTTTTTTTGAATGATGAAATGAAACAAAAGTAACAAATAAAAAATAAAGGTAAAGGTTGGATGGATACAACCTGGGGGATAGCAGCTTTTGAAGCCCTGATACCAGATGACACAAGATCAAGGGTGGTTAATCTTGTTGATGGACTGATGGAACCGTCTGATGGTCATATGAATCGTTCAGGCCGGTTAGTGAATGGATGATGAATAGAAATGGGCGAGTATGGGATCAGGGGATGGTTGTATAACTCGTTTCTTCTGATCAACGGATGATATGAATGACTTTAGTAACAAGATGGATCGAAGTCGCCACAAAGCTTTATGGGTATAAGCTCTGATGAGACAAACACAAACTCTTAAACAAAGAATCTCTCAAGTGTTTAAAGAATTTGTAAAGTATTTTCTCAAAGAAAACTCGGTTTATTTTATTGATCAAAGGTCAAAAATACACTGCTGTGAGAAGGGACTTTATAAACAGTCCAAACAGCTGTTGCCCTTCTTAGGGTCTTTGAATCAAATTACACTTAAAGCAAACATAACTAATTGAATCCGAAATAAAGATAATTGGCTAAACATATGCCTTGACCAACTAATGAAAGTTCAAACTAAATCAACACTTAAACACAAGACAATCACAAATTAATTAGTCATATACCCGAAGGAATTGAATTGATTAATTTGGTACATACCTTGATTTTATTGGTTTGCTTGGTTTTATTGAAATGCTGCGTTTCTTTAGCTTGCTTAGGTGTTGCGTTTTAAGCTGATCACATAAGTGGCCAGATGCTGAATAAGGTAACTCCTTTCTTTTCTGGAATGATCGGCCACACCTTTGTATATTGCATACTTTTTATGTCTGGACCGTCGTATACCTCCTTTGCATCATTTTGGCGCGCTTCTAAGGTTTGAATGAGGCCGTGTTCTTCAAGTTCCAACCTTTCTTCGGACGCTTCTTCAGATATGCTCAGCTGATTAAGTTGAGAAGTAATGTCTTCAAGTTCTTTGTTGGTGATGAGAGTTTCCACAGCTTGATTAAATCCTTCATACAACTCTCTAGCTCCTGATCTTGTTCTTGGTGTATGTCTCATTGTAGGAATGGGGGTGTTTGCTTCGTTGTTAGTTTCTGATGTTGTATCATCATCTCCCCCTTGTGAAGGTTCTGTCCTCAGAACTTCATCTGCATCAAACGGTAACAAATCAGAAAAATTGAAAGTGTTTGAAATGTTAAACTCACCTGGAAGTTCTATTTGATAGGCATTGTCATTGATCTTCTTTAAGACTTTGAATGGGCCATCTCCTCTTGGTAAGAGCTTAGATTTTCTTTGAGTTGGAAATCTTTCTGTTCTCATATGCAGCCAAACCCAATCCCCATCTTTGAATGTTATTTCTTTACAGCCCTTATCAACATTCTTCTTGTAGAGCAAACTCCTTTGCTCAATGTTAGCTTTGACCTTCTGAAACATCTTCTTCATCAGCTCAGATTTTGTTACACCATCTTGATTAACCTGTTCCTTCTGTGGTAAAGATGTAAGATCTAATGGAGCTATATGCCTGAATCCATAAACAATTTCAAATGGTGAGAGCTTAGTAGCCGAGTGGGGAACTCGATTATATGCAAATTCAATGAAAGGTAAGCAATCAAGCCAGTTTCTCAAATTTTTACCAAACCGTGGCCCTTAAGAGGGTTGAGAGTGTGCGGTTAACAGCTTCTGTTTGGCCGTCAGTTTGGGGGTGGCATGTGGTTGAGAATAGAAGCTTGGTTCCCAGCTTTCTCCATAATGTCCTCCAGAAATGGCTTAAGAACTTTGTATCTCTATCTGAAACAATGGTCCTTGGCAGCCCATGAATTCTCACCACTTCTTTAAAGAAAAGATCAGCAACTTGTGTAGCATCATTAGTTTTGAGCTATATATCAGAATATCATCGAAATATACCACTACAAACTTACAGATATACTCGCGT